CACACGCACACAGAGTGAGTTTAAGCCACCAGGTCTGGGACTCAAACCACAGTTGGCTACATGGGAGTCCAGCGGCAGAGCCATTACGCCAAGTGCTGGTCCCAAAAAATAATTATTTTTATTTAACTTTACTTTATTTATTTGTTTGCTTGTTTGTTTATTTAATTTGGACCAGAGAGAGAGAGAGAGAGAGAGAAAGTCAGAAAGCAAGTTGCCAGCTCTGGGACTTGAACTCATCAGCCCTGTGGGAGTCTAGTGCCCTTCACCACCACACCACCTGGTGGCCCCAAGTTGTACCCTTTTTATTGAGTATAGGCAGCTAGAATTTTACCTTGCATGGGAAATGGAATTTCTCCACATCCCCTTACGGAACACCACTATGCCAGGCAATGTGAAAATGCTAGGCAGTCAACAGTGACCAACACAGGGACCCTGCCCCTCGACCTCAGAGTCACTGCACAGTGGACACAGAGAGAAGTATGAGGATACACCCAATACTGATCGTAACTCCTGAGACTGTGCAGGGCACTCTATGGCACTCTCCGCTGCTCTGTAGGCAGAATGAATACCCCGCTTCACACCAGACACCGGATCAAAGAGAATTTTGCAACCATCTCTGGTGACGGGGCAAGGAGGCATGCAGGGCTGTTCATTCTGCACCAAATCCTTCCTTCCAGGAGCTACTTTGTTCTTTTTTGTTTTTTTTGGAGAGATTTTCACTGTAGGGCACGTGCGCTCACCAGACAGACAGAAAGAGACATAGAGACAGAAAGCGAGAGATCACCCCCCAGGGGGGATGGTCGCGCCGCAATCCCTTCTCCTCCATTCTCCTCTCGGGATCTTGGGCACACACGCACACGCGCCTGGCGTTGAGTTTTAAGCCACCGGGTCCGGGACACGAACCGTGGTCGACTATGTGGGAGTCCAGAGACATAGCCATTATGCTAACTGCTGGTTCCCCTTCCAGGAGCTACTTTGGAAGTAGAACATAATACTGAGAATACCTGGAGGAAAAGAATGCTTGGTCACGTAAGTTGCTCCTTTACAAGCAGTCTGTCCCTACAAGACTGGTCTGCATTAACGGATTATAAACAAAGCACAAACTCTAGCCCCCGGCCCAGGAACTTCACTGCCCAGTAAGTGTCCTAGAGAAGATTCCGTGACAAGCACCTCAGTGTTCCTCTGCAATTTCATTCTGCCAGGAGTCATCCTTCAAAGGATGCTACCAAATCAAAGAGAACACATTTAGAACTGAAGCTTTTCCAACTCAAAGGTACACTGAGGTGGTATCAATTTTTATTCTTCTTAGAACCCAAAGTAAAACATCTGACTTTTTGATGTACAGTTAATTTGAAGAAATGCACTTCTATGCTTGGGTGCTAGCCCACCAGATTCCTACTGTGGTTTAGAAAGTTCCAAGACATGTGATGTCACATCGCTGAACACAGGGAAGAAGATTAAGGCTCAAGAAAGTGATGCAAGGGGTCAGTAGGTGTCATGGTGGTTGAGGCCCTAAACTCCCACATGGCTGACTGTGGTTTGGGTCCCAGATGTAATGGCTTGAGGCTCATACTGGGCATGTATGTGTGCCCCAAATCCCAGGAGAATGAAGGAGAGGGGACTGTGGCATGGCTAAACGCCTCAGAGAGATTTCTCACTTTCCCTTTCACTGTCTCTCTCTGGCAAGTACATGTGCTCTATGGCAAACACCTTTTCTTAAAAAAAAAAAAAGACAGGAAAGGAAGGGAGGGAAAAGAAATGCAAAATGCCAAGGAAAGAAAGAAAATTGTCACACATAACATAAATGTGATTATTATACTAAGTATAAAAAGTTTGCTGTCGCGGGACCAGCAGTTAGCGTAACGGCTATGTCACTGGACTCCCCATGTAGTCGACCACGGTTTGAGTCCCGGACCTGGTGGCCCTAACTCACACCAGGTGTGTGTGCACGCGTGCCCAAGATCCCGAGAGGAGAATGGAGGAGAAGGGATTGCAGCGTGGTCATCCCCCCAGGGGGTGATTTCTCACTTTCTATCCTGTATCTCTGGTGAGCACACACGCTCTATAGCAAAAACCTCTCTCTAAAAAAAAGGTTTGCTGTTGCTCACACAGGGTCCATTTTGTTAACACCATAAAAAAATGTCAAAGAAGTGTAAATTATGTAGACATGATGAGAAGCTGCAGGAAAGAACCCCCTAGAGTTAGAAGGTCATTTCTCTTCTTCGTTTTAAAGACGAGGAAACTGAAGTAAAGCTATGCCCTATGAAGATGGCAGCTCCTACACGGACAGCCTGGAGGAGAGTGGCCTGTCTCCCTCCAGTGCTCTGTGACAGGCCCATGCAGGGAGTCCGTCCCCTAGGACAAGCAGTGACAGTCCCTCCCCTGCAGTGCCAGGGTGGGACAGCTGTCCTGGTCGCTGTACTCCCTACTTATTAGCTCCTATGGTGCACTTTTTTGAGGGGCATTTCATTTTATCTTCAAACCTATCAATTAATGTATGGCTAAATTTCTGAAATCCATTCGCGTCTCTCCTTCAATTTTTCTTAGTATCTATCAACACTTCTTCCTTCTTCCTATAAACAATGATGTCAAATTTTGACATCTATGTTTTTTCCTTTAAGTTGTTAGTACCTCCTAGTCCAAAGTGGCTTCTGATAAAAGAGAACTATGAATAAAATATAAAGTTACATTTTCATGTCTTGTTTATCAATTATTGATGTGGCATCCCATTCCTGGACTTCCGGTCTGAATGACTAGAAGCTCCTTGGTATCTCCGATTCTTACATTCCCTTCATAAAGTCTGTTCCTGAAATCATCTTGCCTTCTGAAAAACCTCCTGGGTTTGATCCTCTCTTCACCTTTTCTCCACTGCTGTCACCCTGGTCTAGATCTGGCGACTTCACCGGAGAAGTACTGCGATGTCCTTTTAGCTGGTTTCCCCAACTTCCCTCCAGAACAGGACAGTCCTCGAGTCGCCGCCTCACACTAACGTACTGACCCCACTTCACAGCCTCCACTACACCGGAGTGACAGCGGGACTGGGCCGGCAGGTGGCACGGTGGTTGGGGTGCTGGGCTCCCACACGGCCGACCACAGTTTACGTCTCAGACCTGGCAGCTGCCTCTCTCTCTCCTCTTGTCAAATTAATTAATTAAATATTTACCCCCCCCCAAAAAAAAGTGACAGCTGGCCTTTAGAGCAGTGCCATCTCCTAGCCAGACCTTGCCTATTCCATCTTTCCCTCCCTGCCCCGGTAGTGCAGGTACGTCTCCTCTGGTCTTCTCCAGACATGGCACCTACCCATGGCACCCCGACTCTGCTCATTAATCCCTTTAGCACGCTCGCTAGCATTACTAACTGCCAACAATGACCCCCTCGCCTAAAACCTTCAAAGCTCTATTCAGTTCTGGCCTCCTAGGAAGCTCGCCCTCCCGTTCCACACATACACCCAGGATTCAAACTTCGTAGTACTTTCTTTCGCACTCAACCATTCCGTAATTGTAGAAAACAAAATGAAAGCCAAAAATCAATCCATCAATCAAAGAAAAAACAAGCAAACAAATCAACAAGCTGCTTGTCTGTCTCTTACTGTCGGTAGCTTCTACACCATTCCCTAAACACTTAGTAAGACAGGAGACACACAGTGCTTGAGTGGCAATGATCCTATAACCTGACCGTTTACTCTCAAAAGGCGGGAGAGGCGCCCAGGAAATGCATCAGCATGAGCTGTTCCTTACCGTATCCGGCTGCGGGTGGTGGGTGTCACAGACGCTGTGGGGGAGGAGGACAGGGAAAGCTGTGGCGATGTGGTCCCCATCGCCATCAGAGAGGCCGGCGACGCTCCCTCCGAGGCAGAGATCTCCCGTTTCATTTCTTCACTACTTCGTCGAGACACTGGTCATGAGAAACACCCATTATGTATTTTATAGCAAAAATACTTCAGACTGAGTTTTTTCCCTGGAGAGTCCAGAAAGAACAGATATTCATGTATGGGAACAAAATCTAACATTCTTTACCTTGCAGGTAACTAGGAAGGATCTATCTTTCCCATCAGTGAGTCTGCGACTAGGTAGAGTAGTTAAAACATGCACTCAGTCCACACTCGCTGGAGACCAGGAGTGTGTCCCACCCACCCGAGAGCACACCAGCACCTACCGAGCACACACAGTGCACGGCACGGACAGCCGCTCGCTTATAGCACAACGGAGATCAAAGACAGGCTAATTAGAGCAGCGCTCGCAACTACTCTCCCTGCCCCACGCTCAGTGCAAATCAGCACGACCCTTACGAACGTAGCCGAAAACACGGCTCAAAGGGCAGAAGGGGAAGAGCTCTCCTTACCCAGCTACACGTAACTCTGGTCAGGTCACTTTTAAAAAACACATTAACCGGACAGAAAGAAAACCAAAAGCTATTACCAGTGGGAAACAGCAGTAATCCTTTAGAAAAGGATTGGTAGGGGCCAAATTACTTTTAGGGGCCAGCAGGTGGAGTAGTGGTTAAGGTGCTGATGCCCACAGAGTCGACCGCAGTTCAAGTCGCGGACCCAGAGGCTTGAAACTCACGCCGAATATGTGTGTGTGCGTGTCCAAGATTCCAAAAGAATGGAGGAGGTGGAGACGGTGGTGTGGCCATCCCCCTCAGAGGTGATTTCTCACTTTCTGTCTCTCTGGCAAGTGCATGTTCTTTATAGCAAAAATCTCTCTTAAAAAAGAAAAAAAAAGTCCTATTTTTCAAGTCTGACATACCAGACACTGTATCAGAATTAGGAATCGTTCTGAGAAGTATCAGGTCCAGATGTCACTAGCAGGAGCGCCGACAAAAGTGGTGTGCTAGCAAGCTGGACTGAATGCTGCCCGGTGCTCAGGGTGCTGGCTGAGAACAAGGAGAAGTGAGACACCAGGGGACCAGCAGCTGGACTCCCACGTATTCAACTGTGGCTTGAGTCCCAGACCCGGTGACTTAAAACTCATGCTGGGCACGTGGGCGTGCGTGCCCAAGACCCCGAGAGAAAAATGGAGAAAGAACTGCAGTGTGGCCACCTCCCCTGGGGGGTGATGTCTCACTTTCTGTCTCTCTGTCCATCTGGGGAGCACATGTGTCCTATAGCAAAAATCTCTCAAAAAAAAAGAAAGAAAGAAAAGAAAAGTCTAGAGCTGCCCCTGGCATCTAGTAAGTACGGCAATTCTTTAAGAAAAAGAAGAAGTGAGACAGCAGACCAGGTCCTGGACCTGCGATTTCTCTGTCACCTTGGAAGGAGCTGGACCGGCAGTAGCCATTAATTCTATCTCTGGGTTGATTTTAATAGTGTTACATATTAGTAATTATTTTGTCCCTGAGTACTAAAAATAGCCCTTCCTTTTATTGGTTAAAGTTTTCCTGGATGATTTTATGACAACCATGTAAAGTGGTGCCCCGAAAGACCCACAGGGGACGGTGCTTCTCCCTATTAGGTGACTCAGGATGACATACGTTCACGTTCCTGGCGTAACAGTTTGCTTCATCTGCCCACGGGTACGTACACTTGCCAGAGAGACAGGAAGAAAGCACTGCCCCAGTGGGGTACGTTCACGCCTCGACCCCTTCTCTCCCGTTTCTTCACCCAGTCGGGATTCTGAGCACACGTGCACATGCCCCCGGCATGCTATCCGAGCTGGCAGGATTTGAATCATTTGGTCAGCCGTGTTAGCTCCGGGCCTCTTAACCACCAGCCCAGAGCCGACTGCACAATCCTATCATTATTCTTTTTGTCTGTCCCAGTGTCACTTCTTTCCATGCCTAAAATCAGCAGTTTCTTTTCGGTGGTATGCTAGGAAACAGACTTTGAAAACCTTCTTGGAATTTTTATATAAAACAGAGGAAACAGATTAAGAAAAAATTTTAACGCTGTTAAAAAAAAAAAGCACATACAAAAGGTTTTAGGATCTGGGCTTTGGAACAGTACTTTTAGCTGACCACAGGACTTCTCACTGACTTAAAGACTCAGCTACGATGTCCTGAAAACTGGAGTAACTTCACCCCAGGTGCAAGGGAGACAGTAAGGGCACAGAGGCAGAACTACAGGGATTTCTCCTTTGATGGTCTAACTTCCAGTTGAGCTATTAAGTTTAAGATACAGCAAGGAAGAAGAAATAATACAAACTGAAGCGTTATCTTCAGAAGACAAAGTGAGCCCATCAAAGCCATTATTATTGGACGGCTTTATCAGAGTGGAAAAGCTCAGCTTCCAGGAAACTTTTGGTGTGTTTTGGAGTAACTCTTTAAAATCAGTCATGACATACCTTAGGATAAATATTCTAGTCTTTCACAACTATATCAACTTTATATAAAGCTGTATTTTCAATGTATCAATTAATACAGTGTAGTGCTTACTAGGTACTTGTTAAATGAATTCAACTAATTTTTGTTGTTTTAAGTCACATTTTTAAAATGCGATCTGCACAGAATTTGGGAGATACAATATGGCAAATGCAGAGTAAAAAGAAAAAAGAGCCAACGAGGCCAGTAGAAGTCTAAAGAGAAGTACCAGCATCGTTAGCATTCAGAAGTACGAGCGTGGACTTCCAGGAGCGCCCTGGGAAAGGGAATTCCGGACAGAAGGCCGTTACCTGAAATGGCTTTGGCGCTCTCCATGGCAGGTACTCTGGGCAGGGAAGCAGGCCGGCTGGCTGAGGACGTTCTTAGCAGATGCTCTGCACAAAGTGGAAAGGGTCCTGGTCAGGAGACCTGGTGCTGCACTTTCAAGTTACAAAGGCCCATCGAAGATGAGTTTCACTACTCAACCTTGAGGCCTACGGTGGCCCTTCAAAGTACCCCATTATCTATTCATCCAAACGACTTCCACAGACAAGGAACACAATCGAACATTCTGTCAGTGTTTTTACCTTTAGGGACAGGACGGTTCATGCTTAGTACCTCAATGGAAATGCGAGTATAGAAGAACTGTGAGAGCATCATGAAGGAGGGCTCTAGGGACCAGCGGATGGCACAATAGTTACATCCCGAGACACTCACAACTGCCGTTCAAGTCCCGGATCTGGCGGCTTAAAATTTATGCCGGGCGAGGGTGCGTACATGCCCAAAATCCTGAGAGGAGGGTGGAGGAGAAGGGATTGCAGTGGCCATCCCCCCTGAAGGGTCATTTCTCGGTTCCTGTCTGTCTCTCTGTCGAGCACATGCATCCTATAGCAAAAATCTCTCTTAACAAAACAAACAAACAAGCAAATAAACGAAAGAATGGGGGGGGCTCTAACAGGAAGAGGAGCCGACTGAGGGAAGGCTGTATGACCTTGCACACCTGAGAGGGGGACTTCAGTCTGAGGGCAACGAGGACGCATGGAACACGTCCGAGCACTCGGGGAAGGCCACGCCCCGCGCAGACACTGCGTCTACTGAGCGCAGCCTCAGCTCGTTCCAGTCCTCCCTCACCCTCTAGGCACAGCTGTCCTGGGAGTTCCTGGAGCTCCCTGGAAACGGGCACACGCTGCCCTCCTGCTCCTTCTCCAAGCCTCCTGAGCCTGGTGAACTCCATCCCCCTGTAGGTGCTGGAAGTGATGAACACCCCCTCCCCGCCATGGTGCCCACATCCTGCTGAGGGAGCTCTCCTAGGGCCCCCTTCCCCGCACCCTCTCACCTGAGGCTGCAAGCCTGATAAGAGGCTGTCTTCAGGCTGAGCCACCGTGGCGGACACAAGGACAACTAGCCGTGCTCCACCTGGTCGAGGCCGTGTCTGAAGGGCATGTGACCAGGCTGAGAGGAAGCAGCAGCCTTTGCAGTTTACAAACATTCTTAGCCTTGCTGTCCAAGAATGTTCACCACTTGGGAACCAGCAGTTAGCGTAAAGGCTATGTCGCTGGACTCCCACGTAGTTGACTGTGGTTTGAGTCCTGGACCCAGTGGCTTAAACTCACGCCAGGCGGTGTGTGTGCATGCCCAAGATCCCGAGCGGAGAATGGAGGAAAAGGGATTGCAGTGTGACATCCCCCCTGGGGGGGGTGATTTCTCGCTGTCTCTATGTCTCTCTCTGTCTGGCGAGAGCACGCGCCCTATAGCGAAAATCTCTCCAAAAAATAAAAAAGAATGTTCACCACTTCTTTTTAAGAAGTGACAATGTAAACGAATCCCCTCGGAAAATACTATGTCAAATGGAACAGTACATGTCATTATCTCTTGAGGATGGCACATCTTTTCACTCTAAAATATAGCTTTAAAAAGTGCAAGAAACACTGGTTATAACTATGAACCACTTTGGAGGCACAAGGAGTAAGAGGGGAAGCTGACTTTCTCAGTGACAAGAAGACGTAGAAAGCTTGCAGTCCTCTAGCGCTTCCTGATCCTGAGCAAACATCACCTCTGTGCCAGAGCCTGTAAGAAGCATTAATCTGCATTCTGAACCCTGTGGGCAGCTGGCGTTTTTTCTTACAGGAAGAGACATTATGCACAAAGTCTGACAGGCAGACGAAGGCAGCAGAACACGGGAACAGCAGGAAACAGAAATCTACGTTTTAAAATGTAATCGCATTTTCTATTCTACAATTATGAAACTGTGGTCAAGTCCCTAAAAAGCATAGTCTCCCCTCAAAAAACAACATGGCACGTTAAGGAAGTGAAAACAAAGGTTAAAAAGACCAAACAGGGAGTGTGGGTTATGGGCACAGGCGTATGGCCTGATAATTCCCTAC